TTCTCCTGGGTCCATTTCCTTGCAAGAGATCGGCAAGAGGAGGCCACATAATCACAGGCTTAGAGAACACAACTCTTTTGTGTTGCGGTTTGCAGCTTTTCTCTCCGCACACCTCCTTGCTATTAGCTTTAAAGAAAACGACTCCGCGCTATAAGGAAAATTATAACACAGCACGGTGGTTTATTAAGGAAGGGAAGGAGGCGAGCTGCTTCCAATTGCCAGAGGTTTTAATGAAGCACGGAGTAGCAGTTCACATTCATGGGTAAAACAAGAGTTGGGAAAAGATAACGACAGTATTTCTTTTTTAAAGGTCATGTTTGCGTGAAATTTTTCAGAATACTAATTCAGACTCCGGGAAGCATTTTGTCGAAGAAGCCAAGAGAGTAAATTTAATCTCAAGTCAATAACGTTAACTAGAGAGTCCTGGACTTAACAACGATTCGTTCAGTGTCTGTTCAGAGTTACTGTACTGGAAAAGGTGGCTTACGACCATTTTTCACACTCACACCTGCTACGGCATCCCCGTGGTCAAAATTTAGAACATTTGGCAACTGGCATGTATGCATGACAGTTTTTGTGCCCCAAGGCACAGCAGTGGCCCCTCTTTGCACCACATGGTGCGATGTCCTGTTTTTGCACCCCGCGGTTGCAGGCGCTAGCGCGAGTGGGTGGGCCTGTCCCGCACCCTGGTGGCCAGCAGGCCAGGCCCACTACCGGGCCACGGCCCACAAGTTGGGGACCCCGGACCTAGATGATTAAAAATCTCCGGAAACATTTTCTCTGATGTTTTTGTTTTTTTTTTTTTAAATTAAACTGTATGCAGCCCAGAGAAGGAAAATTAAATGATATTCTATATTATCGCCATTTTCTTCTATGCTTGAGCTTTAGTATTTTCTTGGTTACAAAGAAGCATTCATCCATTAGCTATTACAGAATGAAATTTCTTTCTACCAGAACCGACATCGGGAATTTGAAAAATGCTATTAAATTCCAAAATGAATTATTCACCACCTTCCGACACAACACTAAGAAATGAAGATCTTAGTATTACATAAAAAAACATGAAATACTATCCTTAGCCCATCAAAAAAAAAATATTTTCGTGTGGTTGGACTGATGACAAGGTTTCGGGTGTGAATTCTTATTATACCCTCTTTTTTAAAAAACGGGAAATTTTAATTGCTTCCACTGTAGCTCCTTGGCAGTGCTAAGGCCCTGTTTTGTTTTGTTTTTTCTGTCAGAATCATCTGGAAACGTTATGGAAATTCAAAAGCACTGTGTGAAAAAACCCAATCACAAATTGCAATGTCTTCTATAACATATAATCAAAATTATACTGCATTCAGCAAAAGTTTCCTGTGCATCTAATTAAAGCTTCTGCACGGCAACACCAGACTTACCATAGTAATTCCTGTTCGTTGTGGCCCTAACAATGACTGACTGAGGTAAAATTCACCACAAAGGTTATTTAACAATTAAAATAAGTTTGCAGAGATGGCAAAAATTTCTGCCTATTTAAAGGATCATACACAAGAAAGATATATTAACTGTATGGAGAAGATGGATAGATTATATTCAGAAAAAGTATGGAACTAAAAAGTTTCACTTATTTTATGAATGAATATTATAGTAAATATTACAGAGAATTGTCTTATAGGCTATTGGAGTTAAAGGTCAAGTATGATAATTTTTTTCCCCTTTTTTATTATTTTTTCTTTTTTTCTTTTTTTTTTCCTTTTCTTTTTTCTTATTATTATAAATTCTTTTAATTATTAACCCTGTATTCTGCTCTGGGAAGTGAAGGGAGGGGGGTTGGGGATGGGAGGGAGGAAATGTGGGGGGGGGGGGTAAGTGTAATATAGATAATGGTTGCTTATAGGGGTGCGGCCTGGGCACTCCCCTTATGCTGCGTTCATGGGTTTGATAGGGATGAGAGGTGGGCAAGTGTAGAGAGGAAGTAGGGTAGGGAGAGGAGAGGGGGAGGGGAAGAGAGTAGGATGGGAGGTGAGAAAGAGGAGGGAAGTAGGGAATGTTTTAAGAGAGGGTGGACGCGGCCTGGGGGGAGTGCGCAGGTCGTCATAATGTTTATTTTATCTTAAAATTGTATTGTATACTGTTTTTTTTTATAATGTTTATACGGAAAAAATAAAAAACTTTCATTGAAAAAAAACAACAATTAAAATAAGAAATAAAGCCAACGATTAAAGCTTCCTGCAATAGAAAGGAGTATAGGAAAGTCCTCAACTTACGACCTCAACTGAACCCAAACTTTCTGTGGCTAAGTGAGTTTTGTCTCGTTTTACGACCTTTCTTGCCACAGTTGTTAAGTGAATCACTGCAGCTGTTAAATTAGTCACACTGAATCTGGCTTCCCCATTGACTTTGCTTGTCAGAAGGTCGCAAAAGGGGATGACGTGACCCCGGGACATTAAAACTGTCATAAATGTGAGTCCGTTGCCAAGCGTCTCAATTTTGATCACGTGACCCTGGGGACGCCGCAACGGTCGTAAGGGTGAAAAAATGGTCATAAGTTTGAACGGTCACTAAATGAACTGTTATAAGAGAATAGAATTAGAAGATGAAGAAGTCACACATTTTGGAGTAGGAAAGTTCCCTAATTAACAGGACCATTTAAATTCAAATTTAGTCTCTATTTGTTGTTTTAAGGTTTTGAGATGGGCAGCATAGAAAGTTAAGAGACAAACCAATAATAGTTTAGAACAGTGGTTCTCAACCTTTCTAATGCCGCGACCCCATAATACAGTTCCCCATGTTGTGGTGACCCCCAACCACTTATACATCACCGGGTGCCAGGGGCGTGGCCAAAGAAAAGGAGGAAAAAATGGCGGACAGCCTTGTTTGGCGACCCCCGTGAAATGGTCATTCGACCCCAAATGGGGTCCCGACCCACAGGTTGAGAACCACTGGTTTAGAAGATATCTGAATAAAGCTTGGCTTAAAATTTAAACTAAGAGTACCATGGAGGATAGGTCAAGCTGCAGTCTTACAAAAAAGAAATGTCAATATATATTTTTTTCTGTAGTTGATACAGAATCTTATTCACCAGAGACATTAATTCAGTAATATAATGAAAACAATTAATGGGGTTTTAATAGAATAAAAATGCCGGGGTTTTCCTATACCTGCAACGATCAGACTTTGAATTGGTTAAATGATCTTTAAATAGCAGCACTAAACTTTATAAAATATATCTTCCATTGAAAACGAAGTTGCTCTGAGAATTTGGCTTCAGCTTCAAAGTAATATAAAAATTTATCTGTCCATCTATATCCCCAAGATGGGTAATTAGCAGTAACGAAAAAAATATATATTAAAGTCATGACATCAAACAAGATGGCCAAGTCACAAGATTGCCATGTGCAAATGCTGCTTTCAGCAACATGTACTGTATAGCCTGTCTGCATTAATCATATGCCAGCCCTTTAGCTATATGATTAATTCGTATAAATATTTAAAAAAAATTAAACCTCAAAACAGTTACAGAACCAAACTGCCACTCACACAACCATCCTACACAACCAAACTGAACATTTAGGAGCCTTAAGTGACCCCTACATATAAGCTATCCATTAGCCTGATACTCACCATACATCCCTGATGTATGCTAGTGAGACCTGGACAGTGTACAGGAGGCACGTTAGGCAACGGAACTACTTCCACATGACTTGCCTTCGTAGAATTCTGAGGATCCGGTGGCAGGATAAGATACCAGACACAGATGTCCTCTCCAGAGCAGACCTATCATCAGTTTACACTCTGTTGATGAAAGCCCAGATGCGCTGGGCGGGCCATGTCGTAAGGATGCCAGATCATCGCATCCCTAAACAGCTCTTCTATGGTGAGCTGTCTCAAGGAAAGCGATCGCACGGGGGACAAAAGAACCGATACAAAGACACGTTGAAAGCCTCTCTTAAGTCCCTGGATATTAACACCATCTCTTGGGAACTTCTGGCGCATGATCGACCGACATGGCGCACCTTGGTGTACCAGGGTTGCCAGACACATGAACACAGAAGGACAATCTTGGCACAAGAAAAGCGAGCACTCTGCAAAGCCAGAGCTGTAAATGCTGAAATAACAGCGTCTACATTTCTTTGTTCAGTATGTGGCAGAACGTTCCGTGCTAACATCGGCCTTATTAGACACATCGTTGGTGGCCCATAATCCACAAGATGTCAAGGTCCTCATCGAATTCGATGGACGAACAACAGCTCACCAATCGTACAGGTAGTCCTCAATTTTTAACAGTTCATTTAAAGACCGTTTGTTTAATGACTGAAAAAAGTGGCTTATGAACGTTTTTACGACCACTGCAGCATCTCCAGGGTCACGTGATCAAAATTCAAACACCTGGCAACTGACTCATATTTATGACGGCTACAGTGTCCTGGGGTGTGTGTGTCTGGGTGTGTGTCATGCGACCCCCTTTTGTGACCTTCTGAAAAAGTCCAATCGTGTTACTGAAAACCTGAAAACCTGCGAGATTTGCTTTAGAGCTGTGGCAGGCATGGTTGTAAAATGGGGCAAAAAAGCCACTTGAATAACTGTCTCGCTTAGCAATGGAAAATTTGGGCTCAACTGTGCTCGTAGGTTTGTGGACTACCTGTCTTATGTTACTCTTACTTGAATGCTATTTGCCCGCTTTTTTTCAGATCACAAGTAAAATCTTGGCGTAACACAACTGAAAAAGGTTTGGTACTTTCCTCCAAGTAGATTTTGTCGCCGATGTTCAAAAAAAAAAAAAAAAAAAAAAGGAAGCGTGATGTGTGACCTTTAAATCGGCACTCACAACTGATTGTATCCTACAGTGCTTTTATGAGAATTCTTTTTTTTTTTTAACGACAAAGGTGAAACCACAGTGCAACACGGTTCGTATAATGAAAAAAGACCATCCTGAAAACTAGTGGAACAGCTGCATTTCTTTATAAAGTACCCAGAAGCATTTCTTACACAATTAAGCCACCCCAAAAGGAACGTACCTGCCCCACGCGGCTTCCATTGTTGATTTCTTACTAACCGGAGCACAAGAAGACGCGGCAACGCTTGACTTGTTCAGTTTGTAGCAAAACCCACACGTTGGATCCAGCATGCACCCGTTACAATTGCTGAAATAAAGAATGAAAAGTCATGGGAATAAGCCAGCCTTTTAAGAGAGAAGGGTCAAATTAAGTAAGAATGGGAGTTAGCTGGCTTCTCAAAGGACAAACCAGAGCCGAGGTGGCGTAGCAGTTAGAGTGCAGTACTGCAGGCCACTTTAGCTGACTTGTGTTCAGCAGGTCAGCGGTTCAAATCTCACCGGCTCAAAGTTGACTCAGTCTTCCATCCTTCCGGGGTAGGTAAAATGAGGACCCAGATTGTTGGGGGCAATGTAAATATATATATATATATATATACGTTGCTTACTGGTGTACACCGCTTAGAGAGTGCTTGCACTTAAAGCGGTATATAAGTCTCATAAATAAATAAATAAATAAACCTTAGATTCATCAATAGCTTTATGTAACTTGGGCAAAAGTTGTTAACTCAGTCAGAGGGAGAATATTTCCGTGATTTATGAAAAGTAAAAGAAAAACAAAACAAAACAATGAGACTGAAATTAAAACGGACATAGATCCAATTAAAGATAATAGTTTCCGAATTGCACAGAATTAGTGGGACAATTAAGAATGCTTGCAGCGGGAGAGATCGGTAGTAGAAATTGGAAATTATTCAGCGTTACTTAAAAAAAATATGATGGGCAAGTAACTATATTCCCACAACAATATAGATGGGAAATGGGTGAATGTCAACGTTTAAATGACAAAAACACGTGTGTTGTTTCTAAAGGTTTTCCAATCATCTTTCTTTTCACTGGCAATTCACATGCACATTTTAAAAACAGTATTCAGAAACCATTTGCATACTTTTTTTTTTTAATTGTAACACAGCTTGTTATTTCATTGCCTGCTAAATGTCCTATAACAGGGGTCTTCAAACTTGGCCCTTTTTTGACTTGTGGAATCCTGGGAGTTGAAGTCCATAAGTCATAAAAGGGTCTATTATAGCTTATCTATCTATCTATCTATCCATCCATCCATCCATCCATCCATCCATCTATCTATCTATCTATCTATCTATCTATCTATCTATCTATCTATCTATCTATCTATCTATCTATCTATCTATCTATCTATCTATCTATCTATCACCTTTCTCTCTCATCCATCTATCTATCTCTCTAGTCCAGCGGTTCTCAACCTATGGGTCGCGACCCCATTTGGGGTCGATCGACCTCTTTTGTGGGGTCGCCAAACGCGGCGATCCGCCATTTTGTTGCCTCCGGGGGCGCGCTGCGCCTCCGGGGGGGGCGGTGCCGCGCACGCGCGCCGCGCATGGAGGTGGCGGTGCGCCTCCGGGGGGTGGCGCCGCGCATGCGTGCCGCGCATGGGGGCGGCGCCGTGCCTCCGGGGGGCGGCGCCGCGCGTGCAGGCGGCGCCGCGCGTGCGCGCCGTGTGCAGGGGGCCGCCCCCATGCCCGCCGCGCGCGGGGGGGCACCGCGCATGTGCGCCGTGCGCGGGGGCCCCACCCCCATGTGCGCCGCGCCGCGCATGCGCATAACGTTTGTGTGACGGGGGTCGCCGTCACACAAACGTTGAGAACCGCTGCTCTAGTCCATTTATCTCTATAATCTATCTATCTATCTATCTATCTATCTATCTATCTATCTATCTATCTATCTATCTATCACCTTTCTCTCTCATCTATCTATCTATCTCTCTAGTCCATTTATCTCTATTATCTATCTATCTATCTATCTATCTATCTATCTATCTATCTATCTATCTATCTATCTATAACAGGTATGCGGTATGCAGTAGTCCTTTACAAGCATCTGTTTAGTAACCGTTTGAAGTTACAACTGAGTTACAGAGAGAAACTCCTTCCATGACAGACACAGATTTTAAAAAGTTTTCAGAAAGCATGCTGTGGAAAAATGGGGGGCGGAGAAACAAGAAAAATAGTATTTCAATTATGAAACTGATACTTGTACTAAATAAATATTAATGAAAGAAGGAACTGGTCCTGTGGAATGCAATTAAAATTAATTGAAGCAATGGTGCCTGATCAGGATTTACTCCCAAGTTTTTTAACAAATATCAAAAGACACCAGCCTTTGGCCTCCTGCAAATGTAAGTACTTGTAAAAAAATATTTAGTATTTCAAGCAGAAAGTCTGCACCAGATGAATCTTCCAAGCGATATGTATATATAATGAGGTGTGGGAGTTCTGGATGGTAAAAACTTCTTGCTTTCATTAATAACAAATCCAGCTTTAGCAAATATTTCTGCTATCGTCCCTGGGCTTAACAGAAGCAGAGAAAACCAAGAAGGCAGTAATATGGGAATGGGATGGGAAGTTATGGGAATCCATCCAGTCTCTTAGCTTTCTTTAATTTAAAAAGCTTTCGGTCTTTGTCTTTGTGCAGTTGGTATTTCAAATCTTTTGGGACCTTCTGGATGACGCAGCATTTGCAGGGTTTCTGAACTGGTCTAAAGCACACGAATTTTATCCATGCTGTGATTATCTGATCTGAATTTCTTTGAACGGAAGGATATTCCAAAAAAAATGCCATCTTTTTAATCCTAAAAATGGTGTGTCGTATTTATTTCTAAAACATCAGATGCATAAACGCTCTTCTGCGTTGAAAGCCTGCTAACCTCCAGCATTTTAAATTAAACTAGAGATTTAATAAAGAGAAACATGCTAAAAGCTAGGTTAAGTGCTACAACCCCAAAACTGCTTTTACTGCTCAGCTAATTTCAGGATTTATTCACAAGTCGTCCTTCAGCTCAACAGCATGAACTTCCCAATCAAATTTTAATTACATGTTGATTAGAGCAAGGCAAAGCAAAATAGCTTGAGCGTGCATTTTAAGGTCTCTTCTGATCATCTCTGGATCAATTCCTTCATTTTTTTTTAAATTCATTATAAAATACTGTTATATTTTTAGAACTCAGAATAACAGAGTTGGAAGGGACCTTAGAGGTCTTCTAGTCCAACCCCCTGGTCAGGCAGGAAACTCTATACCATTTCAGACAAATGGTTGTCCAATCTCTTCTAAAAAACTTCCAATGTTGGAGCATTCACAACCAGGTTGTTCCACTGGTTAATTGCTCTCACTGTCAGGAAATTTCTCCTTAGTTCTAGGTCAGATCTAGAATAGAATGGAATGGAATGGAATAGAATGGAAGGGAATAGAATAAGAGTGGAGTGGAGTGGAATGAAATAGAATAGAATAGAATAGAATGGAATGGAACGGAATGGAAGGGAATAGAATAAGAGTAGAATGGAAGGGAAGGGAAGGGAAGAGAAGGGAAGAGAAGAGTTGGAAGGGACCTTGGAGGTCTTCTAGTCCAACCCCCTGGTCAGGCAGGAGACCCTACACCATTTCAGACAAAGGGTTGTCCAATCTCTTCTTAAAAACCTCCAGTGATGGAGCACCCACAACTTCTTAGCCGTCCCACTGATTAATTGTTCTCACTGTCAGGAAATTTCTCCTTAATTCCAGGTTGCTTCTCTCCTTGATGAATTTCCATCCGTTGCTTCTTGTCCTGCCTTCGGGTGCTTTGGAGATCAGGTTGAACCCTTCTTCTTTGTGGCAACCCCTCAAATATTGGAAGACTGCCCTCATGTCATTTTATATTAGAATAAAAGTTATCTTAAGGGAAGCACCTCCAAGGAAAAGATAACTTACAAAACATTTAACAAAAGTTATCATTTAAGATGAGATAGGCAACCATTTTGGTCCAGAAAGCTGCAGTTTGGGGTTGAGGAACATACAGATTGGTGTAAACTAACACGATCACACACAAATCCTCAAGTTCCTTATCGTGCTAGGGAAGAGAGTCTATCAGTGCCAATGTTTTTAAGCGTTATCCGTGTGATTGTTCTTAACGGACTGAGCTTCAGATAATTTGAATGACAAGATCACACTAGGACCACACTTTTGACAACAAAATCAGATGCCCAGCAGCAGCCGGAGATAAACGTGGGAAGACATTTTGGGAGGGTAACATGCAATATTAAATTTTGTATCACGGAGATATTATATCAAATCGAAGACCATCTCACAATGCAACAGTCAAACAGCAGCAGAAAGCAACCCAGCAGAAAAAAAATGGACAATTAAAAAAAATTACTTATCTGGAACTAATTTTAGCATATTTGAGTAATTACTCTGTCTGTCTGTCTGTGTGTCTCTCTCTCTCTCTGTCTCTATCTATCTATCTATCTATCTATCTATCTATCTATCTATCTATCTATCATCTATCTATCTGTCTATCTATCTGTCTCTGTCTGTATCTATCTATCTATCTGTCTGTCTGTCTCTCTCTCTCTCTATCTATCTATCTATCTATCTATCTATCTATCTATCTATCTATCTATCTATCTATCTACAATTCTTGCTGATCCATTAAGATTTCAAGTTTAATTTCTCTGTTGATTTACTCCATAACTGGAGTTAAAATAACATTTAATCATCCAGGGACTGTGTTTATAACTAAAGAGTTCACATCTAATAGATTCCTGCAATTTGCCCTTAAAAATAGCCTACATCTGAACAAAATACATGCATTAAACTGCTTTCCTAAATTGTGCAACCAACATCACCTGGCTGCTGATTCTGCTTTCAAGCTTAATTTAGTAATATGGAAGCAATCATGTACCAGGATACAAGAAGCACAAAATGAGAATTACACTAAGCTTCATGGAAGAGCAATAACATGAGAAGAGAAATCAAAACTAAGGCAAACATGTACACGGTTAAAAAAAATTAATCTGGAACTATTTAGCAATCTCCTACCCCCCCCCCCCCAAAAAAAAGCTCTGTTAAACAGCCTTGTCAATGATTGAATTGAAAAATTCCAGTTTTGAGTATTAGGTTAAAAGGAGTCTTTGTTTTACGTTCATCTGTTGTTGTTACCTTTACTGTAGGAAAATAATTAGGACCTATTTTTCTAATATTTAAATAGCACCAATTAATATTCAAAGAGATATCAGTACTGTGTTCCTGCACTCACTTCCAGAGAACAATTCATCCTTCGTGAATTGCAAGCCTGAAATACTTGACTAATTGTACATTCTTAACTAATGCGAACACGCATTATACTGTGGTTCATTTGAGAACAGCTGCACGAGCCCCGAAGGTTTAATGAACAAATCAAAACTTCTTACCTGTATTTTGTGCAAGTGGAGTTTTGGCCCAGTGGGCTCTCAGGGCCAAGAGTAACTTGTGGTGAAGCTTGAGCTGACAGCAGAAAACCCAAAGCTAACACAAGCAGGGCCACAGTGGTACCTATATTTAAAAAAGGCAAATAAACAGCTTCGTTCCAGAATACAGAATTCACACAAAGAGGTATACAGGTAGTCCTTGACTTGACGGCCACGATTGAGGCCGTTTTTGTTGCTAAGTGAAACATGGGTTAAGTGAGTTTTGTCCCATTTTATGACTTTCCTAGCCACAGCTGTTAAGCGCATCACCCAGCTGTCTTTCTCTGGCTAAGGCAGGACTAGAACTCTCCATCTCCTGGTGGCTGGCCCAAGATCACCCAGCTGGCTTTCATGGCTAAGGCGGAACTAGAACTCCCCGTCTCCCGGTGATTGGCCCAAAGTCACCCAGCTGGCTTTCATGGCTAAGACAGAAATAGAACTCCCCGTCTTCCGGTGATTGGCCCAAAGTCACCCAGCTGGCTTTCATGGCTAAGACAGAAATAGAACTCCCCGTCTCCCGGTGATTGGCCCAAAGTCACCCAGCTGGCTTTCATGGCTAAGGCAGAACTAGAACTCCCCGTCTCCCGGTGACTGGCCCAAAGTCACCCAGCTGGCTTTCATGGCTAAGACATAACTAGAACTCCCCGTCTCCCGGTGACTGGCCCAAAGTCACCCAGCTGGCTTTCATGGCTAAGCAGAACTAGAACTCCCCGTCTCCCGGTGATTGGCCCAAAGTCACCCAGCTGGCTTTCATGGCTAAGGCAGAACTAGAACTCCCCGTCTCCCGGTGATTGGCCCAAAGTCACCCAGCTGGCTTTCATGGCTAAGACAGAACTAGAACTCCCCGTCTCCCGGTGATTGGCCCAAAGTCACCCAGCTGGCTTTCATGGCTAAGACAGAACTAGAACTCCCCGTCTCCCGGTGATTGGCCCAAAGTCACCCAGCTGGCTTTCATGGCTAAGACATAACTAGAACTCCCCGTCTCCCGGTGACTGGCCCAAAGTCACCCAGCTGGCTTTCATGGCTAAGGCAGAACTAGAACTCCCCGTCTCCTGGTGATTGGCCCAAAGTCACCCAGTTTTCATAGCTAAGGCTGGACTAGGACTCTCCATCTCCTGGTGACTGGCCCAAGGTCACCCAGCTGGCTTTCATGTCTCAGGCAGAACTAGAACTCCCCGTCTCCCGGTGACTGGCCCAAGCTTTCTAACCTGAGGCCTTAACCACTAGACCAAATCGCTACAGGTCTATTTTCAAATGCGCTTCCGTTTGTTCCCTTCCATTTTTAGTTGACGCGGACGTACCTGCTAAACTTCCCAGGGTAAGTTTGCGCCGGCCCACTTTTTCTACCAGCCAGACTCCCACAGAGGTGAAAATGAAGTTAGTGAAGGCTGTCACGGCAGCAAGCCAGATGGCGAGCCGGTCGTCTCGGACTCCGGACATCTGAATAATGGTTGCACTGTAGTACCTGAAAGACAAAGAACCTTAAATGTGTAGTACATTCACTGATTTGGACAAGGGCGAGGTGACAGATTGGTCTTTGGTTATGGAGAGCGGTAGACAAAACGGTTCCTTTCCGGCAACTTTTCTTTTCGGTGACCCGAATGTTACGCTCTATCAGATACCTTGATTGGAAAGACACAATAAATTTGCTCCTTGGAAGATTCTGGCCGAATGCTTCAAGTGTATCTCTCGGCATCCGTTGTATTGTATTATTTCAAGAAATTAGTGAGCATAACACTGGAAAGAGATCTTCAGAGAAACATGAGAAAAAGGCATAGTGTAGTTGTGCAAAATGTGATTTCTTTCCTTCCCTACACTTAAAGACATTTCTGAAACCCAGCATCCAAATTAACTGCCCTGAAATATTAATAGATCGATGGAATGAGTTCTTACTTAGGTGGCAATAACCACTGAAGTAGCAGATTGATTGGTTGATTGATTTGTTTATTTATAATTTTTGTTTGTTTCAAATTTATGGCGATCTATCTTTCCATCCATCCATGTTTCCATCCATCCATCCATCCATCCATGTTTCCAACCATCCATCCATCCATCCATGTTTCCATCCAACCATCCATCCATGTTTCCATCCATCCATCCATCCATCCATCCATCCATCCATCCATCCATCCATCCATCCATCCATCCATCCATCCATCCATGTTTCCAACCATCCATCCAGCCATTCCATGTTTCCATCCAACCATCCATCCATGTTTCCATCCAACCATCCATCCATCCATCCATGTTTCCATCCATCCACCCACCCATCCATCCTCCTGCCAATAATTCTCATTATTTTGCATCACCCATGAAAGTTCTCCTGAAGTCCTGAATATATCCACCCATCCAGTTTTTTCATCCATTTGCTCAAATATATCCTTTTTCACAAGACTGGTTTAAGCCTACTGTAGTAGTTACCCTGAAAAATAGAAATTATTGAGCCTGGGGGATTATCGTTCACAGATTTAGTATTTCTAGTTGATTAGATAGCTTGTTTGTTGGCTATCCAATTACCCAGCACAGTCCAACATGCAACCAACTTTCAGCCAATAGCATTTCCAAAATGCAAAACACAAATAAATGTCTCTATATATGGAAACACAGTCACTACCTTTCATTGTCTCTAATTCTATCCAACCTAATAATATGTTTTGAGTTATTATTAGCCACTATCAGTCCCTGAACAGTTAACCTATCTACTAAAGATGTTTTCTCTTTTGGGATGCAAAACTAAAAATAACAGATATTATCAACCTATGATGATACTTCAAATTCTTTCCCCTGTTTACGTACCATGTTGATTGGTTGGCACGCCTTAATAATGGACTACAGTAAACTGAAGGAAGAGTTTAAAAATAGGGGTTGAAAATAGCAAGCAGCATGCAGAATGACGTCAGCCAAGTGATCAAGACAATGCTCATGGCATTTGAAGAGTGGTCCAGCACGAGAAAAAAAACCCATCTTGCATTTAAAAGTATCCCAGGTCAGGGGGTGTCCAACCTTGGCAACTTCAAGATTTGTGGACTTCAACTCCCAGAATTCCTCAGTCAGCATGATAGATAGAAATGATAGATAAAAAATACAGATAAACGATAGATGATGGATGGATGGATGGAAGGACGGACGGACAGGATAAATACATAGAGATGATAATAAATATAGACAGATAATAAATGATAGAGATAATAGATAATATAGATAAATTAAATAATAAATGATAATGGATGGCTAGGTAGATAATACATAGAAAGGATAGATAGATAGATAGATAGATAGATAGATAGATAGATAGATAGATAGATAGATAGATATAGGTAGGTAGACAGACAGACAGACAAGGTAGGTAGGTAGACAGATAGATAGATAATAAATATAGGTAGATTGTTGGAATATTCATGAACAGGAAGAGTCATGTGATAACTCAGTCAGCCAATGGGAAGAAAGTGCTACTGAGTCTGTGCAAAAAGAGTATTGAGTTAGGAGCTGGATTTCCAGTCTCAAGGTTTTGTCTCTGGTCTGTCTCTGCAAGAAGTCTTCGTTAAGCTATGTTGCTGTAAAGAAGAACGGTATTGTAAATATTTTTATATAAATATAAAGTTATTTTGAATCAGCTAAATGCAGTCAACGGTGAGAGCTTCTGATTTATTTTTTCACCAATACAGAAATTAAAATTCTCTAACATAGATGATAAATGATGGATGGATAGACAGATGGGTAGATAGATGGTAGATAGATGGATGGACGGATGGATGGACGGATGGATGGACGGACGGAGAGATTTCACGGATAAATGCAAGTTACCTTGTGACAACTTAATGTGACTAAATATAAAGAAGAATTAGAAAACAAAATTCAAGACAAACAAGATGGAAAATGCATTATCTAAACAGGTCATGTTCTCCTGGTTCATAGATAAGAGTACGAGAAAACTTTGTTTTTAAGTAAGCCTGAAGAAAAAAAAAATCAATGACAAAGATCCATAATAATAACAGCCAGGATTGAACACAATTAGATTCATCCTCACAGGAGGAGAAAAAAAACCCCAGCTAAATGAAGGCAGAAGATGAGTGCTGGAGAGACCGAACAAACTGTTGAGAGACTGAATAGAATAAACAGTTGGAAGCACCATAGAGATGCATTTTTCATAGTGCCTCCTTTGATTAATGCTTAATGACATAATCAGCTTGGGGAATGAGATTTATAACCCGAACATACGATGTCTTAGTTGGTGATTCTGATTACTCTTTTCTTCCTTGCTTTTATAAAGCATGGTTTGTTTTCCAAGTTGTTCCACAGAGATTTACAAAAAAAGAAAAAGAAAAAAAAAGACTTATCTTGTCTGCAGACTCGTAAGATTAAGAGATAAAAAAGCAACAGAGTTCAGGCACTGATTCCAAAACGTTTTCCCAACAACCAGATGACACAGCAGCAGCTCCCCAATCCCATACTGCTTTCGGGAAAAGAGTGCAACAGCAATAATAATAATAATAATAATAATAATAATAATAATAATAATAACAACAACAACAACAACAACAACAACAACCCCCAGTGAGGCACTACCTTGACCCCCAGTGAGGCACTACCTTGACGTGGTTGTGGGGCTTGTGTACTCTGAGGAAGATGAGAGCTATGCCAGAGGTTCAACCATACTGGACAGGTCTCATCAGAGGAGTCAGACAAAGAGTGTCTCTCCCATAAAAAATATGGTGAGACGTAAATTTCAGAATGCCATACCGGCTCGGACGTCGCCCGGGTTAACAAGGTCCGCGCTAGATATTGGAGTTCCTGGATATCTGGTGAAAAATGGGTTACAGGACTCAGGACTGTTGGCTGAGCAACCAGGGCCAGCAGCTGCAGAACTACTGGAAGAAAAGGTGTTTACCCGTCGCAGATACACAGTGATGGAAAACAAAGAAATAATGATCTGTTACTACAGATCAAGTCCAACAAGAAGAGGATATCTAAAACGAATGCACCAGTTCTGGAAAGAACAACATCCAGAATCAGAAATAACAGAACAGAGACTAGCAGATCAACGCCGATTTATAACACGAAATAAAGTATTCACAGAAACAGAATTGGACGAACTGCAAAGGTTTACCCAGGGCAAAGAAATCAAAGCCTTACCAGAAGTAATTCAGAATGTAGAGGCAAACCAGGGGGAGTTGGCAGTGAAGGAATCCAGCAGAGATATACAACTGTTCTCATTTGGAAACCAGGCACCTCTTCCTCAGGAAGAACAAAACCCTCTAACTAAAGAAATAAAAGAATTGAAACAAAGAATAACTGAGCATCTAGAACAGCACAAAAACAACAGAATAAGGCTGCCTGCATTGAAGCTTGTTTCAAAGAAACAGCTAGCACAAGCATTAAAAGATGCAAATACTGCAATAGCAAGTATAAGCACCAATTCACTGCAAGAAACAAACCAACTAATGTACAGCACAGCTGCAGTTATAACAGAATACCTGGGATGTAAAATCAACAAAAAAGAAAACAAACAAACAGTGCACCACAAAAATGGAAGGTTAGACTAGAAAATAAGATCAGCAAGTTAAGATCACATGCAAGCAAGCTAGAACAGATGAAAGAAAAGAAGCTGAAGAACAAGAAGACCAAAGAATACCTAATCAAGAAATACCACTTAGAAACAAGGAAGATCAAGGAAGCACTGGAAATAATAAAGCAACAAATAACAGCTATAGCCAGGAAAATCAGTAGATATGAAGCTCGAATTGCAAACTATAGGCAGAACCTCCAATTTCAATCCAATCAGAAACGTTTCTACCAATCCATCAATGGAGAAACTGCAAGGAATCAGTCAGTACCTGACAAGGAAGAAACAGTGCAGTTCTGGAAGCAGATATGGGATAACCCAAAGAAATACAACAAGGATGCGGCTTGGTTAAAAGAGGTGGATGCAAATAAAACAGAAGTTGAAATGAAAGAACTAGTAATAACAACAAAAATGGTAGAAAAAAGAGCAAAGAAAATCAAAAATTGGTCAGCACCAGGTGAAGATGAACTGCATGGGTTTTGGTTGAAACATCTAACTGTTATCCACCCACTCATTGCCAAACAGTTCAACAATATACTACAAGGAGGAGAAATTGAAAAGTTGCTAACAACTGGGAAAACCTACCTAATAATGAAAAATCCAGCAAAAGGGGCAACATCAGGTAACTACAGGCCAATTACCTGCTTACCAACAACTTTCAATTACTAACTGGTGTGGTAGCTGATGCAGTACAACAGCATCTAGTTGAAAACAATCTCTCTCCACCTGAGCAGAAAGGAAACTGCCCCAATAGCAGAGGAACAAAAGATCAACTCCTAAATAGACAAAATGATCTTGGAAAACTGCAAGGACAGGAAGACCAATCTGAATGTGAGCAACAATGATTTTGACTACCCCAAAAAGGCATTTGACTCTTCTGCCACATGACTGGATAATCAAGG